AACGCTCTCCGGAACGACAAGGCTGCTGCAGTTGCCGGCAATGGTGCACACCTCGCCGTACTTCGGGCACTTGATCTTTCCATCTTGCTCAAAACCATTCAGCGTCACTGAGATTTCAGTGTCCTCGGGGCAAGAATGAAAATCACTGCTGCCGAGGTACTTCACCTTCACTGTTCCCCCCTCACACAGCACCTGTGCGCACACTCCCTTGACGCTTTTATGTTTAGTGCTATCATTCGTCTCCACCAATTCCGCATCCAGGCACCACAAGTCACCGCCAGTCAGCGACCCAGGGAGAGAAGTCACAGTTCCGTCCGAGCACGCATTGTACGTTGTCCCAGACGACATTTCGTGAAAGTACGAAGAGACAACAGGGCAAACGTCCTTTTCCGCAGGAGTCCCCTTGTTTTCAACGATGGCTGCGGTGCACGTCCCGACGTGACGGCGGTCAGAGGTGCAGCGAAGTGTCTCATTGTCAGAGTCATCGCAGAACATGTGAGGATACTTGGTGGGGAAATCTGTTATTTCACTGCACTTCTTCTCCAGGAAGTCGCAGCCAGTGCTTCTGCCCCAGCTCATCGGCTCCGCCATGCTCCAATTCACGCGGTAGTACCCCATATCCGCGAACGCCGCCATCGTCAGAGCCGTGTAGTAGCCGGCACCGACTGTGGGAGCCATCAGCTCGTCCCGCGCGTGGCGTTCCTTCCAGTGAGGGATCTTTCTTGACGATGCACCATCCTCGTCCTCCAGCTCCATTCCCTCGAGAGAGTCACAACCAAAGTGGGCTCGCGTCTTCGCCTTAACGTGATCACCCGCCACCATCCAACGACTCCTCCCACGCACAATGTATTCAGAGTTCAACATGCTCTTTTCTTCCATATTCCTTTGGCTGAACCCAAGAGCATGTGCAAGTTCGTGCGCGGCAACGCGAACGCTCCACGCCGTGTCAGTCATGTACTTCGGATCAAAGTTCATGGCGCCAATAGAGGGACGAGAATCACCCCATGTGACACACGTGGCCGCCCAAACAGCCCTGCTTTTGGTACCTGATGGCCTAGCAGCGGCGTAGATGATAAAGTCAGCATCAGGCACACCGTCTCTTATGTGCTCACTAGGAGGATTAAAGTGGTCACACGGCTCATTCAGACTCCTCGGAACCTCTACTTTATCAGCAGTGGGTTTCACAAGTAGCCGCTCAGCGTGCAGTTTGACAGCACCGGGGATAATCTTTTGAGTGTACAGTTGTTTCTTTTCCTGCGAAAATATATCTCTTGCTTCGCAGTCTACCTTTTCCCCCAAGACGGTTTCGCATGTTTCCCCAGCCTTTTCGCAGAACGTCTTCTTTTTATTACGTTTCTTCTCCAGATCCCCCGTGAACACCTTGATGCGGATCGGCCACCAGTCACTGTCGTCATCCTGTGCGGCGACGGTGTACGCCTGCATCGCGCCCTGTCCCTTGCGCGGCACCTCACGCACCACCGCAGTCGGCAGCGGGCCGCTCCTCTCCATTATCGCGTCAAACCCACAGCGGTATTGTGTGGCGGGAGCGGCGGCAATACATCCAGTGGCGCAATACATCAGCAGCAACACCACCAATGGGAGAAGCGGCGTGGCGTGGCGTGGCTGGCGCATGGTTCGAGTAAATTGCATTTCTTGTTTCGTGTGAGCAGCAGCAGCAGCAGTGCAGCCTGGCTGTGGGAGGAGAGAAGCAAAGAAAAAAGAGGGAGGAGAAAAAGGAAACAGTTTAGTGCCAGTGATGCGTCGGGATGCGGTACAAACAGCGGAGTAACAGGAGACCACAGAGGCAGCCACGCGCACCGCATGCGCACCGACTCCATCAAAGGGAAAAACCGTCAATCCGTCGTCGAGGAAACGTCCATCACCGTCGCACGCATTCTTCATCGGCCACAACGCTCCCTGCACGCGGAGTGTTCGGTCTGCTCTCCTCGTGGTGTCGCAGTATTTGTGTGACCGGCCACGCAACAGCCACCACTTGCACAGCGCCCGTCCCACGTGCAGGAGCATCGCACAGCGCTCTCCCTTTCTATCCCAGCAGCTCATAGGGGTGACGCCAACGCACGGCAACCTCATTACGATGGGCAGCCCTAAAGCGGGAATGCAAAGAGTCATGCGGACGGATCTTCATTCATTGCTCTCCCTTCGGGGTACTCAATAAAAAGCGTGAAGGCGGTGCAACGATCATGACCGTTTCTTCCGCACCGCCACAGTCCAAAAGGTTACTGTGAGCTCACGCGGTGGAAGTCACCGTGTGCGCCGCTGATCTCTCCACCGACCCACGACCACGCCGCCCTTCCAACACGGTGGATATGAGCGTGGCCAAAGGCAACCACAAGCGCCAACACACAGGGGCCCATAGTGTCCGCCATGACCATCTGCAGAGTGCGTGCGTCCTCAGCGTTCACGCCGCTACACAGCGTGCGCCAAATAGAGTGCGTGTGTGCATGTGCTTGTGTGTTTCAGCGCCTGTACATCCAGAGCAGCTGTGCGGCACAAGGGAATCCAAAGAAAACAACAGCAAAAAGAAGCGGATGGCACACACACAAATTACTCATATCATCGCACACACGCAGCCGCGGAATGGGTGCACTCAACCACAATACGAGTAAAACAATAATAAAAAACAAAAAGCCGAAGCGTGGGAGCGTCCACCCAACAGTGGGGACGCGCAGCAACAGGTGAGACGACCAGCGCACACACACTCCCATTGCTCCCGTAAAGCAAAACACACACACAGGGAGAGAGGGAGAGGTCGCCCACTCAATGCAATAAAAACAAAACAGAAACAGTTACGGTGCTCCGCCCATGCAGACAGGCAGGACGGCAGCGGTGCGTGTCGTGCAAAAGAGAGCACCAACGGGCCTGCATGGGTGTGCATGCATATATACAATGGGCACATTATGTGTGTGCCTCGTGGGGTAAGGTGAGGGCGAGAGTCCATGCAAGGGGACACACACACAGAGAGAGAAGGACGAGTGTGTGTGCGGGCGGTGCACGGCTCTCTCCCCCCCACTCTCACGCGGCCACCACAGCAGCAGCTGCTGCCGCACACGCAACAACAACAAGCAAAAGAGGGGAGGTGGTGTGGGAAGCCGCGGGGCTGCCGTCGCTGTCGCCGGGTGTCGTCACATTTTCTCCTTGGCGTTTTTCTGTTTCTGCGGCAGCCGGAGATGGAGCATTCTCGGGAGTGTCCGTTCCAGTGAATACTTCCCCCTGAAGTGGAGAATGACTGCCATTGGAAGATGACGCAGTTGCTTCTTCTTGACTGCCGGCTGATGTACTCCGTGCGGCAACCGCTGTGGATGCATCGGTGCTCGTACTGTCACTCTCATCCACTGGCGTTTTTATTTCCTGTTGGGGTTCCGTATTCTGAGATTCCGTACTTGATGCTTCCGTTGAGTTCTCCTCATTGTCTTTTGATTCTTTATGTTGAGCCGGCGGAGGTTTTTGTGTTTTGGATGCCTCCAAGACCTGTTTTTCCATCTTTGTCTTTCCCAACTTTTCTTGACCTTCGCAATCCGACACATCCTCTCCGCAACCCGTTTTACTATTTTCTGAAGTAGACGTTTCTGGCTGCTGTACATCGGGGAGTGCCTCCTGTGTCAATCCTTTGGATGATGAGGGGTCGTGACTCTCTGTTTCTTTTTGTTGCAGCGCCTCTTCTCTGGATCCCTCACGCGTAGAGGATAAATCACTGCTTGTGATCACCGTGTCATCAATGTGAGGTGGAGCATGAACTCCAGGAGAAGAACCAGCATTACCACCAGGACCAGCAACAGGACCAGGAACAGAAACAGGAGAACCAGGAGCAGCAGCAGGGCCCGTAGCAGCAGAACCACCAGGAGGATCAGCAGTAGGATCAGCAACAGGACCGGCAGGAGCAACAGGAGCAACAGGAGCAGGAGCAGAACCAGAAGCTGCCGCACCAGCAGGAGAAAGAGCACCAGGAGAACCTCCGCCTTCTCCAACTCCAGAACCAGATCCTGGAGCAGTATCCCTTACCTGCCCATCTTCGGCTTGTATGGCAGGGATAGGCAATGCTGACCGCAAAGGCGGCGTCGGCATGTATTCATTACATCCGTTCGGCACATACGATGCATTCATACCCAACACTCCCGACGCCATGCAGCCACCCAGTGCCCTCTTGTCGAGGTCCCCCGCATAAACATCGCCGGCACCGCACCACAGCACGCAGAGGGCACACACCAGCAGCACACGGCCAGTCATCATCATCGCCATCACTCCTGTCACTTGCGTGCAGCCTTCAGCACAAACTAACTCCCCGCCACCGCACAGCAACAAATGATAGCAGCAACAAACACACAATGAGGCAGTTGGAATTGGTACGACTGCAGAACCCGCACACCGCCCCGCAAACAGAAAGCTAAAAAAAGCTGAAGAAAACACGAAAAACAATTTGAGTGTCCGGCAGGGCTCCCGGAAACAATGAAGAAAATTCATTCGGCAGAATTTTTATTTCATGCACCAAGCAGCAGAATGTAGACGACCTTGTGTTCCTGTACATACATATTGCCTGCACCAAGAGAAATAAATTAAAGTAAAAATAAGTGATTGCACTCCTTCACGAGCCCACACAAAATCCCTTGCAATTCAACGCGTCCATCACAAACGGGCACGGCGTCAGCTCGTCCAACGAGTTCAAACAATCATTCTCCCTCGGCGCCCCGTCCTCTGCAGCACCGTCAGCATCTTCCGTGGGGCACGCTCTCGTGCTCCAATCATTCCCACAGAGAAAAAAGGAAGAGATTGTGGATTTATGCAGAGAGCACAGAGACGGTCACCGCCAGAGAAGGCCATCGTGGCACCGTCCGTCACGCGCCAGCACACGCCGAGCAACACCCACACCCGGCAAAGCAAAAACACAGGGGAGAAGAATGACCCCAAGAGCAGGCGACACCTTCATGCATGGCGGGCATCATGCAGCCGCGTAAACCGGCCACAAACTCAATGCAAAAGGCGTCCCACACACCTCCATCCAATGGCGCCGTGATTCCCACCGCACAGGCACACACGCAGCGGCCTCGCCATGTCAGCACGGGATGCAGGCCAACGTCCCGCCGTCGCCAAAACATTCCTGCATTGCACTTTGCAAATACTTGTGTGGGTGTGTGTTGGAGAAACGGAAAAAAGAGGAGGAGCACAGGGAGGCACATCAACACAGCAAGAGGCACAGATGGATGGCAGCGATACATGCGGTACGGCCCCAACCTCAACAATCACGCACGGTGGCAGCACACACTCATCCACAAATAAAAACAAAAACAAAAGAAAAACATGGCAGCATAGTTTGTGTGTGTGGCGCTGCGGGTGTCTGCCCGCCCTGGCCGCAAAGAGAACAAAACAAGAGGGAAAGAAATGTGTGCTCCGCCCCACAGGCCCTCGTCGCACGCCCACACGTCGCGGCTCCCTCAGCGCGCCGTTCGTCGCGGCCCCTCCTCATGCGTGCAGCAGGCGAGGCGCACAGGGCCGTCGTCACGAGCGTGTCGGTGGGTGTGCGAGTGGAGCAGTTGGGCGGGAAACACACGGCACCCCTCACAGGAGGAGTGCAGCAAGAAACAATTAGAAAGAGGGAAGAGTAGAAAAGAAAAAACGTACATAGTGATTGGCCCAAAAAAAGCAAAAAAAAAAGGAATGGGGATATAAGAACGCACAACAAAGCAAACAGGGAAAAAAGTAAATAAAAGTTATTAAAGAAGAGAAATTAATTACCAGGTGTGTTTGTGTGTCGGTGCAGCGGAGGTCGCAATTGTCCCACGCGGCAGCCAGTCACTCCTCACAGAGCCGCAAACCCCCACAGTCCCAACAGCAGGGAAAGCAGCGGCAGCACCCTCCTCTCACGCATGGTGCCAGCATCGGTGTTATTCCCCTGAGACAAATTTCCAAGAATGCTGCCGAGGGCCGTAGCATTTACGTCCCTAACCTGTGGGCGGATCTCTTCCTCATTTCCATCCGCTCCTCCTGCCGCCTCCCCATCCGCACCAGAGCTCGCGCTCGTCCCATGATTCACTGCGGTTCCATGTTGCCCCATGGCTCCGGCGGTATGAGCGTTTGTATCTGCTGCGGCGGGAGTATTCACAGGTGTTTGAGGTGATCCGTCTCCCGTCACCGTTTTTCGAGCTCCTGTCCCCACTGCCTTGTCACCACCAGGCGAGGAAGCGCTATCCATAAGTTGAGTTCCAACGGAGGATGTTCCTGACACCGACTGTTTCACAGACTTCTCTCCTGCTGAGGAACTCGTGGCAGTGGACACTGCTGATGCGGACAAACCGCCTGCACCACTTGTCTTCAAAGATTCATGTTCGGACTGCCTGTCTCCACCAAGAGAAGACCCAATCGCGGTCCCGTGAGTCGGCCTGCCCTTCGGAGGTGGAATAGGAGCTTTCTTTGCGTTAAGCGCAGTAATCTCATTGCCATTCAACGGGCGGTTGTACAGCAGGACGTTCGTCACCGTCACGGACACGTCTTCTCGTCTCTCTGTGCTGCTTCCATCCCCTCCAATGTAGAAGTGGGATATCCCTGTCAAATCCTTATTTTCCACCTCACATTGCTCATCTCTCACACGTTTACCATCGACGTACGCGGAGCCCCGGGTGCCGTTCTGCAGCACAATGGCGACTTGGTATTGTGTTGTATCTGTCTCTGAATCCCATGTGCCGCGGTGCTTCGGCGTCTTTCCGTCACCGCACAGTAATATCCACTTACCTCCGCCGTTGTACGACAGTCCAAGAAGTACGGTATTCCCTGCATCCTTCATCTTCACACCCATCAAAGGAATGGAGGTATCTCCCTCCTGCACCTTTTGGATGGACATCGTCGCCACAAGAGTGAAGTTGTAGTTCGCAAAGTGGTACGGCTGATTCTCCCCCTGACTGCCAACGGGCCACTCCGCCCATGCAGTACGCCTTTTAAATGTTACGCCATTTGCCGCCTTCTCAGCCCCTTCATTCTCCTTTACTGTGGCGTTCACCCCGAGGTACTCGTCCTTCCATGTCTTATCAGAGAAGTTGCCGGACAAAAAGCCAACCAGCCCAGCCGTCGGCATGGCAGTACGGCAGTCATTGTCAGGTGAGGTAACCTGCACAGCGCTCTCAGAAGGGCACAGCTGGGAAACATGTTCGTCCACTTCCTTCCAGGTCGCCAGCACATCCTTCACCCGCTGCAGCTGCTCAGTCAGACGCACAGACCAAAGACTGTTTGGTGGTTTCTCCCCCACCGCCCTTCTTTTCGTACAGTGCAATCAACTCCTCCCTCTTATTATTACCATCAGTTCCACTTGTGATACCCTGTACAGCAGGGAGCTGGCGGCAA